GGCTACGGGCCTGCCGCTTTAATGATGTTTCTGAAGGAAGTGCCTGTACGGCGTAAAGCTTGTTCAGTCAGCCTTGGCAGTATAAAGGTCACGCTCTATAAATAAACTCAATTACTCTGATTTACCCTGAATGAAACTGAATCTCGTATTATAGACTAAGATAGGGAGTTCAAGACGAGGTCAATGATCGATTTATGTATAGTACATTGATCCCATGTGAGTTACAAGCATAAACCAGCACTTTTTTTGCCCGTAAACGTGTTGGTCGTGGTTTCTTAACAGCATGGACAACGCAAGTCTAACACCAGAATACACTGTGTACACAAAATTTAAACTCATCACAGAAAGTTTAACTCCACCATCACTCGGTATTATTACTAATGTTATAAGCAATACGAATACTGTCTTGCAGGTAGTGGTAAAAATTAATAAATTCCTGCAGGCACATTCTACCACATTCAAAACTAAATCTCGCTTGCAGGTATGGTTATTCTGGGAACTCATTTAATACCGGTAGTAGCTTTTAAGGGATAGGACACTATAAACTGTTGGGGTGAAAAACTGTACAATTGTTTTTTGTGCTAATATTTTTGTTTTCCCTACTTTGTGACATTTTTTCTTAGATTTAGGTGTGCCGTTTTTTTTTTCTTCTATTCTACCATCGCTCTTACCCAGAAGTAATGATGATGTAACTAGAAAACCAAAATACAGAAAATTACCTTGTGTGAACGCATACAAAAATTAAAAAAAAAACGTTCCCTAGTCATTCGCTTTGTATGATCTTAAACCTGGTCATGGTTAATCTTGTTGACTGTTTTGGTTTTCCCACCAGTATCGAGTGCTAATTTTCACATTAATGTTTAAAATGGTCGCGGTTTCAATAGTATCTATAACTTTTGGGTCAATATGTGTTATGCATTGGTGAAAAGATACACATATGTACATCAAAGTATAATGAATCTGTTGATGTTGTTTCTATTTCTCTTATTCTTTTCTTTATAAACTCTCTTAAAATTTAAAGTTTTAAAGTTTAGTGTTCGAAACATTCGTTTATCAAGAGAAAAGCGGTATTCAAATTTGTCTGTCAACGAAAAGATGATATCATTTTAGTGCAAGAATAGTAGTCATAATGTTGAGGGTAGGTGAGGAGAAGAATGGAAATGGATGTGATTCTATTTCCCTAATAGTTGTGGAAACATAAGTATACTAATTTAAAAAAAGAATATCAATGAATACAATGAGACAATATTAGGAACAAAAAAGATAATTTAAAGGAAATTCATAACATCAGAATTTTTTTTTGGGGGGGGGGGGATATATTGGGGAATGCTCTTGCAGCTTCTCTCAACTGTGCATTTGATACGGTGGGTTAATCATCCTGCTACCTAAACTAATGTACAAGGAGGACAATGAATTTGAAATAATAATAATATTAGTATTTTGATCAAGAACTAATCAGTGCACCTTACATAAGTGATTTATTAGTTAACAATCATTTTTCTGGTAATTTCATATTTTATGACAGGTTTTTCAGGTGCATACAATATTGCAGTGGATTAGTTTGTTTTCTGTATGGGTGTCATCACCGCAATCCCCTCTAAGCGAAAACACTTGCTCAATCTGGAAACTTCGTGCCCGTGACAGATGAAAATGTTTTAAATTTAAACAATGTTTCTATTACAAAACGTTTTACCAAAGTATCCCTTACCAAAATGGATAGCTATCATTAAGTTATCGGCAAGCTCTCAAAGTAAGTCTTCAAAAACTAAGGGACAAGGTCTATGGCAACTAAAACAGTTTTGATAACTAGTGGATTTTCTGAGTGTTAATATTGAGAAAAACTAGTCGTCAAAACCTTCTTAGTCTTCAGTTAGCTTTCGCCGAGTTTTCGTATATTATAACATATTTGTGACAGTAGAGTAAACTGTATCATAACCTTGAACAACCCAACTAAAATAACAAAAAACAAAACGCATTAAACACAAAAAGCAAAAACAAAACAAAAACAATTACATGTAAATTCTCATGAAAATGCCCATGTCTGAGGATTCCAGTTCACTTCTACAGACTTTTACAATCCTTCCTGAATAGAGTGATTCATATGTGGTAGAATATATTGTTTCACTAATCACATCATTAATAGATTCTACAATCAGTCACTCGAGGGCTGAAAATCTCGGTAGCCCGGCTTTCGCCATTTACACATTTATATAATATTTCATTTTATTGACACAAAAGAAAAAAAAAAAACACACGTCAAAACAAACAAGAGACATATCATTATAGGTATTACGCAACGTGACAGATGTCGCCCACATGTAACAATAGATAATATAATATAATATACGTAATCTGAATAAAAATATAAATATAATACATGTATAAAAATATTTAAAATTTACATAAGTTTTTAACCAGATTGCATAATAGGCAGTGCGTCGAAGAAGGGAACAAATCGATAATAGTTCAGATGTCAGTCCCCTAGTTATTGCACTATTATAGTAAAACGTATTTGAAAATGTCTGCAAATTTATTAACATTATTAGCATAACAATAGGAACTAGGGCAATAATGCAATAATATACAAATGTATACACATTTTAGTATACTTTAGTATACTATTACTCAGTACTTCCTGTGTATGAATATTGCCGAATTTCATATTATTGAATAAGATAGGGAGTTCAAGAATCGATTTATTTATAGAACATTGTACTGAAGTACAGAGAGGGCATTTCGACCGTAACATATTACATCCACTTTCGCTTGATGTTGTTACTTATGGTATAAATATTACAAAAAAAAACTATCGCGTGCTGTAAGAAGCTTGCATCTCGCAAACGACAGTAATTTTAGATTGACAGAAAACCGGGACACCGGTAGACGTGAATACAAGAAAGTTCAAGATGGCGGCTCTCGCAGAAGCACAACGAAAAGCAGAGGTATCATAATATCGTATAGTATAAGCTTAAGTTTTAGTAATACCCTGTTTTTTTTCATGACACTGTACACACCACAGACATATGCTGTTTCCATTCCGAATATTGGCGCGGAAAAAAAAAATATAATCGATATTGCGATAATTCTGTTTACCGTCGTTAATATTAAACCTAAAACTTGATCGCACCGCATCTATTGGTTAACCCACTGTAACCTATCATCTGATTAAACTGAACTATGCATTTGGTGTCAGCTGATCGACTCGTGCAAACACGCTTATGTAGAGTTAATTCGGCCAATTCGATTTCCGTCAATCCAAACACATGACGTGTCGGCCTTTGACGAGAAACATTCGTTGAGAACTATGGAGAACCAAAGGCTTTATCTGAATCCTTACACACACCCTCTAAACTTGATGGTGCGTACTGGATAAGTATATTCAGCATTAATGTTTATCGTTTCGAATTTATATTTACTATCAAATTCTCGTATACTAGTAATCATATTCTCAATAATTTTCGTTGAATTTAATAGATTTCTGATAGCCTTATACATTTTGCCAAGTGTTGAAAGATTAATATTTTCTATGTTAATTTTTAGTAGATTTTACGCTTTAGATATTCTATTGTGATATACATTCTACTGTTTACTTTGTGTATTCACTGAGTTTAATTCAGCAAATTTAGCTATCAGACAAATGGGCAAAAATAAAAACCCAGGCAATAATTGTGCTCTATACATACATGCAAACGAGATATCTATAGGTAACTTGCAACTTCCCTTTGTCCATCAATGTTCCAATAACCCAAGCAAGTTCCTCCTGACAGTTAAAGCAACTCTTGTTGTATAGTCACAACAATGTTGCAATATGAAAACAGATAACAACATAGACATAGTACATGTACTACCTAGATGCGAGTTAACTAGTCCAAAATCAATTGGAGCTAGCGGAGGGATATTGTCATAAAATATAGCAAATTTGGATCATTTGATAGGCAATAAGAAAGTCCCTCGCTATATTGCAATGTTTATACAAACTTTTCGAGGGAGTTTTCTAACCATCTGTATGTATCTTGTTTGCAACCACTGTAACATTTTCTTTTTTTTAATACAATGCTTGCTGTACATCCAGTCGCATATTATCATTTAATTTTGTGATAACGTAAAAAGACAATGTCACGCCTCCCTCTCTTCAGAAGTTTTCAGAAGAATTAATTAAGATTTTCTTTAGTCTTCAATGTGTATATAATGATCGTATGCTTTGAACACTTTTTATTTAATTTATGGTGTGAAATGATGATTGGCACGTTTGATTGGATTTGCTTAGGGCTGTGGTGACAAACATGAGCAACATATTGTTTTTCTTCTTTGCATAAAATTGTCATTCATATTTTTAATGCCAAACCACTGCATGTACAATCTAGTTTGACATTTAAATTCAACTTCATAAATATTTTCGTGAGAAGTGATGTCTGTTGGGTAAACTCAACACTAATATTTAATTTGTAGCACTAAACATCTCTCAAACCAGATAAACAACTTTACTAAACAATAAAAAATAAGAAAAATAGAATAGAACTATTTTTTCTGTTGTTTGCCAATATTTAAAAAAATTGTTTATGCAAGTGCTAGTAACATCACACTGGCGGTTAAGTCATGGAGATAATATTTTCATGGGTAAAATTAACACATTCCTAATTATTGTTTGACTGAGCTGCTAACTAGGTCATGGGTGTTTACTCATTCTGATCTCAGTAACACAATGAAACACATTTATCTAAGGGATATCTAAAATCTGATAGCCTCTCATTGCACTGACCAATTCTGAAGTACTCAGTAGTTCAGCTGATTGTTTCAGCTTTTGGACATGTGTCATTCAGTAGGATTGTTTGCCATGTTGCATGGTTCGTAAATGTAGAAATAAAATATACACATGTCTGCTTCCACCCCTGCATTTTGATTGGCCAGTGTCAACTGCTGATATCCTAAAGAGAATTATTATTCAGATTTCTTTATTATTTAGAGTGTATGTGTATTGGCTTGTCCTCAATCTAATTTGTTAATTTTATGGCTATATCTTTGTGAATATTTTTGGTGTTATTTTGATGTTTTTATAAATACTGCTTCACTGATTTGTATACTTATTTTGGTTTGGGTTGACCTAGTTGTTGAGGAGCAATTAAACAATTAAACAAACCAATGCAAGACTGAAATATCCTATTATAATTCTTTTAGTTTACTCTAAATTGGTCACTGTTTTTAATCATCGGTATTAGTGGATCTAATTACAGTCACTGCCTCCACAAGTACATGTATAGCTGTTAATCACATCCAATACGGTAGGAGCTAAGAAATCATGAAAAATGACTTGTCATAGTTGGTACATAAACATTAATTACCGGTATTTAATTTTTTAAATTCCCCTGCAATCAGAAATGGTGATCTTATTCTTCATGGACTGGATACAGCTTTTGTAACCTGGGGTTGTGGGGCAGAAGCACCCAAGCATACTCAGGCACTTAAGCTGTACGACCAAGGGCAGGAAAAGCCGTATCCAGTCCATAAAGGTTTTATCATATACCCAATAGGTGTAATTTCTTAGAGATGCCAGGACTGGTTACATACATACATTACTTTATGCATCGTTAATACAAAATATTATACATATCAATATCATCATAATCAAGCTTCTGAATGAATATCTCTGACATGTTTATGTTCAAACTATATTACTATAAAAAAATTTATATATCTTAACTTTGTTAACTAATGAGGCTGTGCCATGCATGGCTTGTTAGTCCCTGTTTTGGACATCACCATTTTGTTTCAACTGTCTGTGTTTCCATACATTCTCATTATTTCTTGGACATGTCCAGAACAGTTTCGTTCAAACTTGGTATAAAGACAACATCTCAACATGGCATAAACTTTTTCTCAGGCATTCTTGGGCTCATTCATAGTGGGTTACTGATGCAAATCATTTTTTTTTGCTATTTGATTGGCTAACCGGTGGTCATTTTTTTTTAAACAAGTGTGCTTCTTCAAGTTCTTGTTTCTTTTACAGATTATTTTTGAAAGTTTGGTACATAGGCATGATATATTATATATAGGTTACTGGTTCTGTTTAGTTAAGTCATTTTCTCCAACAACAACAAAAACCAGAAAAATTGGTGTTGATTTAATTTTTTATGTCCATAGCTATTTCTTGAATGTACCTTCACTGATTTCATTCAAAGTAGGTACGAAGACAAGACGTATGCACATATAACTTTTGGTGCCAACTAAACATTTTCCCATTAAAACAGAAAAAAATTTGAATTTGTCATCAACTATTTTTCAGGTGCGCCTAAGCTAATTTCATTCAAAGCTGGTCTTGATATCTGATCAATCATATTGTGTTACTGATGAAAGTTGTTTTGTTTGATATACAGCAATTATGTTTATGTGTCTCTTGTTTTCTCGTTTTCATCAATTTTGTTTGAATTTGGTATGAAGATAAGACAAGCATAATGGGATGAATGTTTTCTTTAGCTATTTTGAATTTTAAATGAAATTGAACGAACTGGTAGCCATTTTTGCAAATCAACTCAAATCCAATTGTATTTAAGAAAATAAATTTAGAAAGATGAAAGAAATAGAAAATTATTTCTTGTAGCAGTAGTATTAGTGGCACTTAAATTGCGCCCTCTGTAGTTCCATATGGAAGCAAACTAGTTCATTTCTAAACTGTAGAGGGCATCATACTTTTAGTAACAATTCTTGTTTCATGAATACTGAATCAGTGCCCAGATGCTTTTGGACAAGTTAGCTTATTAATTAGATCAATTTGCATAATAATTTTGTGTAGTGTATTTTGGATGTTAATTGATAGCAGAAGCCTTGAATGTATTCAAATGTAAATTAATACTTACTAAAATAGCTTGTTCATTGATTCAGAACAAATTAAATTTCTTATTTATTCAAGTCTTGTTAATCTAAATATAGTTTTTAAAGTTCCATATATATTCTCCTAGCAAACTTTGTAGTTAGTTTTGCCATATGCAATACATGTAATGTACAATATTTGTTTACACAACACTTGTTGCATGGAGATCACTACTCACTTATGATTTTGTTTGAAGCGTCAAGCCATTAATATAGTTTTTGGAGATGCTTGGTAACATATTTTTTTAATCTTTAAGTAATTCTGTGGTCTTTATTTACATGTGTATGAATTTGTTGAGAGAATTACACCGAATCAGTATGAGATTTTAGAACAAAAATGTGTTTTGGTGAATTTATACTTATTTATGAGCTATGTTTTGTCTTTGGATAATGTCACTCGAAGCTATCTCTGTTTTTAAACTGTTTTATATAAGTTCTTAGTTTTGAAGCTGTGTTTGTGTCCATTTGCACCATTTTCTCTCATGTTCACCACTGAGGGATGAATTTGACACCTGTTGAATGTTCACATACACACATCAACCTTGATGTGTGTTGGATCTCATCACCATTCAGGACTGAGATCTTGTTATATTTTTTGGCGCAGGAAAGCAACTATTAGACTGCATTCCTGACAATCTGTATCATATCACATAAAAAGTACATTCATAGTTATTATCATCTATTAAATCAAAATATTGGTAGTACTGGTATATGAAGAATAAGAACAAAATATTTTTATTTTTATTTCATATAGTTTTTTTTTGGGGGGGGGGGGTTATCTTGTATTGGTACAGAATCTGATAATTTAAATTTTAAATTTTTCAAACATTTCCTGATTTTGTTTCCTTCCAAAAAACTGATCAAAACTTTATATTATGGCTTTAATTTGTATTCTATCATATTTCCCCATTTGATTCTTGTATATACTTTGAGTACCATTTCCTTTTCACAAATCATGAATGATGAAAACACTCTGCCACATGTTCACTTTTATTCAAAGAATTATTGGTAGGTGACAGCTGATGTAAAACATTTTTGTTTTGTTTACACATATCAGATGGGGAGGGGATTATCTGACAATACGTAGTATTTAAATGTATTCACACTGTTATGTGGAGCCATAGGTACATGTAGTTTGAACGTGGAAACATTAACACTGTCCCTACATAAAAATCAACCATGCTTCAGAGTTTGTCATTAGTGGATATCCTCACGAAGGTAATGTACACGACTACTGCATTCATATCTCCTCATTTCTGTATATTCTGGGTTTGTTATTTTTAAGGACTTTCAGTGATTTGATACATTGGCTATGTTGACAGTAGGTTACTATATAGATGATGTGGTAACTGCTGTTGTGGTGACCTTCAGTACAGTATTTTTAACTGTATGTTTATTATTATACAATTTCGGTTTTGGAATTGCATCAACTGTTAGCGTTTTATTTTGATACGCCATAATGGCTACATCACTCAGTATGGTGTTTAATAATAATGTGACAGATTCAATGTCAGGTTAAACCTTTGTACATTACAGTCAGGAATGTTAGTGTATGTACAATCTCAGCATACTATAGCATCATACTATAAATTACTTAATTATTCACTTGATTATAATTTCCACTACCGGTAATAAGTAAAATCCTTTCTAATTAAACCCCTATAAACTAATAATAGTCTAAGAACTCATTGTTTCTCTGGCAAATTCCTGAAATTGCTCAAAATATTGGTAGTACCGGTAAATGCCAACATAAGTGAAGGGTTTTTATAGTACCTAGTGTGTACCATTGGACTAATGCCAGCTTGTGTGCAGGTAATTTGACTATGAATTGTGACAGACGGTTTAAGTAATTTGATGTACTTTACTTGATGTTTCCCCCTTGTAGAGTGAATAATTTTGTAGCTCTTGATGTTCATATGAAGTATTTACTGTGGTTGATTAAGTTGTTTAGTTATACCGATAGAACTGTTTGATGTCTGAATTTAAATATTTTGTGGATATGGATTACTGGTATGTGTACACTAAGCACTGTTATTAATTTCATAAGATGTATACAATTATTATCTCTGATGATGTCTTTATAAGCAGCAAAGTCTGAAAAGGACCCTATGAATCATAGTATTAGTATTTAAGGCAGATTGAGTTAATCTGATTAAATATATCAACCTGTGGATATCTGACATGAGCTATCAGCTGGGCCAAATATATTTAAAATTATGGTCACTGGGATATACCATTTTGTGACAAATAAAATATATAATCGCTTTAATCAAAAGCTGCTAGATTAACAGTGCATACAAATAACAGTCTTATGGTTTCATTATTAAATAAAGTATTGATTGATTGCTGGAATTCTCATCAATTCTATTTTCAGAGTGCGCACATGCATGAGCAACTAAAACCAATTTTTCTATTTAAAGAGTGGTGCTAATTGTGCAACTCGTCTTTTGTATTTGTTGTACTTTCATACACATATCCATCGCACTGGAACCCATACAGAATATGATGTTCACACTTGTTAATTTGTTATGATTATTTGCTAATTATAAGTCAGTTTTTTCAAAATCATTGGAACTCCCACCCACCCTCATAAATATCGATGGATACATATATTTACATGTACTAGTCAATACATATACCTTAGCAGGAAACATAGTTTGTTCAATTTTTGTTTGCATTATAGTATGATCATTTCTGTCTGGTTACACAGATCATACATGCCATGTTTTTGGATATGATACATAGCAATTAATCTCCAAACGTAAATATCAGATGTAATAAACATAGGTCATGAACTTTAATGTTTTACTTAACACGTGTATCTCATGATAAATATGTTGATAAAATATGTGATAAATTCATTTTTTATATTTTTTATATCACACATTCAAAATCACACGTGTTATATTAGTAATTTGATTGATTCTTGCATGATATTTGAGACAGTGATGTAACATCACTGACTGTTCATCACTTAAGGCTTCAAAACATGGCTTGTTTGCCAACTAAAAATATATATTTGTATATATAAATATATCGTATTTGAATGTTATCGGGAATAGTTTCAGATATTCATCAAAGGCTGTTTTCATATCAATATCACAATTCGTGAAATGTGGGATAGTACTGATAAACTACTTCAAAATTGTGTGAAGAGGTTCCCAATGTGTTGCTAAAACTCCATAAATGAACTGTTTTTCAATCGCAGGCGCTAATCTGACAATAATACTGTGTTCGAAGAGCGGATTCCTGTATGCAAATTAGATGCGCTAATAATCTTAGGATAAATGCACACACAAGTTATGAATGTGAACTATTGAGGAAATAGTCGCAAAACGAATACATGTGATTGATATTTGTGCCAAACGTACCATATGCTTGGAACATATGAAATGTACTACATTTATTTAATAAAATGTGATATGACATGTCACTCAATTAGGTATTCTCTATATATCACCTCTGTATACATTTCGCAAATATGGTGTTGTATTGAAGAATACTGATCCCTAAAAGCACTTTGCGGCTGGTTTAAAATGTTTTTTGGAAATCAGCAGTCACACATCAATAGTAAATTGGCAATTAAGCATTAGGCCAGACTTATATTATCCCTTGTTGTGCGAAGCCGTCAAATGAACAGGAGCCGTAAATGAAATAAAAATAAAATTTTATTTCAGCGTAACTTCTTGCGCCCGCCGACTTGTGAGTGCAAAAAATTGCTTAATTGCTTGCATTTTTATGGAAGTATCATGTTTGTGGTGACACACCGTGAAACTCCATCGTCAAAAACCGAGAAATCCCTCATTATTGCTGAAAATTTTGCCACAATTGACGACATTGCCAACCAGGTTATACATGGAATACAATTTTATTTTGTTTCATTTCTTCTCCCTGATCAATGATCTCACTTACAATTCTTTGAGAATCACACAAATGTAATGGGAAAAAAAGAATTAATTTTTTTATTTTTTCGCCCTTCTAATAAAAAATGATATAAAAACTTGAGAAACAAGGAATAAAAAAAGTCTGGCCTTACCAAGATAAAGATGAGAGAATTAATAGAAACAGTGAAATCCACATACAATTTAAGGCCAAAAAAAAAAAATTGTATTGTTGCTCTCAGCGACCGACCGAAAAATATGAAATATCAGGTCGCGTTTTTTTTTTTGTTCCCATATACCTTGGCTATTTGCGATAATACGAGTTTAAAAAAAAACAAAAAAAAAACTGACTGACCGATCCAATTTTTAAATTTTCCGACTTGAGGGCAACATAAGTTGTTGGTTTTTTTGACCTAATATTACACTGGTAAATAGATGCCTTAGTACAATGTATATATATAAAAAACATTCAATTTGATTATATCTCAAACAGTAATAAAAAAAAAAAATTGTCTGTTCACCAATCAATGTTTTTGCGTTTAAGGAGTTGAACAGTTTATAATGTCACAATCTTAAATTGTATGTAAGGATTAATCAGATTTGCCATTAAGGGGTTCAAGATAATATTACATGACTTTATGTCACTGATATATCGGTATTACTACATGATTAATAAACAATATTTTTTTTTAAATTCTCTATTTTCTGAGGTCAAATTGCAGTCCATATAGTGCACTAATAGTGTTATCCAAACAGTGGCTTACAAACACTTGATCATGATAATTATCTGATATTAAAACAAACAAAAATGCAGTCTTGAGTTTGGCTGACACAAAGACATTGGACATTTTATTGTTTAAATTAATGTGGATTTATTAATATATAATTACAAAATCACATATCTTCGCTGATGATATGATCTAGGAATTATTCCTCAGTTTATAACAAATATACTAATTCTGTTGACTGTTTTGGTATTGTTCCCACAATGCATTGCTATGTAAATATGTGCAGAACTCGGTTATAATTGATAGACCCATACCCTCATTTTTTTCTAGTGATACCAGTCAGTTTTCTACACACGCACTTGCACATGCATACGCCTGTGCACATCATTTCACGACTATGCTCTCTGAAATATGGAATAACTGGAATTCTTTACATTCATCACAGGCTGATGCAGCCATGAGGACCAATAAGAGTGTGATCGAGTTTCAAACGTTGGCCAAGAAAGACGCTAAACAGGCACTAAAAGTGGAATTAGAGAAGCTGAAACAAACAGCACCTCCAGGTGAAACAGAGGTAAGATATATAAAAGTATCCAACAAGATAAGTACAGACTATGAATATTGGTAACACACGTATACAATAGTCTGGCTTTACATCGGTCTAGTTTAATTATCTCCTTTGAGGTATGAATTATTATACTGTAAAATACTTTATTTTCGCTTGGAAATAATTTTCGCTATTTCCGCTGAAGGAATGATTCAGTGAAAATAAAATCCAGCGAATATAATTTGTTTTGTATTTTTTATTTTCAACTCGTCAAAAAAATCAGTGAAAATAAAATCCACACAAAATACCCAAAGTCTTTTTAGCGAAAAATTAATTCCAGCTAAAATAATGTATAACTGACTAGTAATTTATAGTGGTTAATTTACTATTTAAAGTGCATATGCTTGTATATGCTATTTTTATGTGCATTAATATATGGAGGTTTAACATTCAAATGTTTATGATGGTATGTTGAAACCACTATAGCCTATGTATTTCTTGTTTCTGCACTGACCGGATGTTGTGGCTGTTTTAGCTGGTAATGTACATTATAACATATTGTGTATTCAGGGGACAGATCATGTTTGGTGTTGCATACTACTGACTAATACGGTAATGCATCACACATGATAGATATGAGAAACCACAAACTAAAATACTGTGGAATACTTTATTTTTGCTGGAATTAATTTTCGCTGAAAAGGCTTTTTGGGCCTTTTGTACGAAATTTATTTTCACTGATTTTTAACGAGTTGAAAGTAAAAAATACGAAACAAATTATATTCGCTGGATTTTATTTTCACGGAATCATTCCTTCAGCGAAAATAATTCCATAGAAATAAATTCCAAGCGAAAATAATGTATTCTACAGTAAGTGCAAAAGGGAAACACTAAAATATGAATAAATATAAAAACTGCTAATAAATTTGGTCATGCTGATGGCGGGTATGCTACTCTACCAGCTACCGTGCTGGCAAAGGAAGGTCCGCCGAAAGGTACTGGTACTCTTCCTCAAAGCACTTTTCCTCAAATACGTTGGTTGGTTGGTTGGCTGGCTGGTTTTGGGAGGGGGGGGGTTATATACCTACAGGTTGATACAAAACTCAAATGATAATCTCTTGTGTAATTAAAGAGAATCTTATGAGATAATATTTCAATATCCATACTAATAATAGCAAGTTTATTTATATAAACAAGCATGTAGTGGAATAGCCTTTAGATATTTTATAATTTTCTAACAGCCCTACATAGGAATCTATTGAGAACACGTATGGTACACAGCCATATTGTCTGCATCAATTGATCTGTCATGTTGGCATCTTTAGCTATTACAGTATTTGTTCTATTAGAAGTGCACATAAACCAAAAAATTGCATTCATTGTATGATAGATCATTAACAAGTTACTTATTTTTTACTTTTAGTTTTTATATATATATACAGAAGTGTATGCATTAAAATTAGATGTTACATTGTACATAGTCAATGTCTGTGCTTGCTGCCTAATTTGTCACATTCCTATGTTGATTCCATGATAACTTAGTATCATAATGGCACAAGTTTGATAAAGTAGATGCATACAAATCTTAGAATAAGTAAAAATGTAATTTTCATTTTTTAACCAATTATGGTGAACACATGTTACCACCAAATATAACGCAATTAAATTTCACTGACTCTCAGCATGTATTAATACCGTACATATGTGTTACAGAGCACGTATCATTGCATATGTGTAACAAACAAGTTTTCTGGTTCTCTCATTACATAGATTCAGAATTGGATATATGGATTTAGTATGGGGGGTGTCATGAATTGCTTCAACTGACACAAACGATGAAACTAGAAACAAATTTATGTTGACCTAATATATTATTATCACGATGCATGTTTTTTCATTCACCCACAATGATGAAAGTTAATGAGAATTCTCAATTTGTGTCAGGACATCTATTTTGATCAAAGTTTTTGCACGCATAAAGGTCTTTTAAGGCGAAATTTAGGTAAATTTTTGTTGTTGAATAATCATGTTTTGCCAAAGGTGCATCAACTAATTTTACTCAAACTTGGCATAAAAATGATGATAATGCATGCACCTTCATTATCTTTCCTATGTATGTACAATACAAGTAACCTGTAGAATACTGTGTGGGTAATATTTTTTATATTGATTTTTGTTGCATTTGCAGCAAATAGTTACCAAACAATGAGAAATCTATAGGATTGAATATACCCGACAGCTGGCTTCACATGCATTGTTCATAGTTCATATGGTGCTTACACCAGGATTTAATTACAGCACCTAGGCGGTATGTGGTTACAGCTTAATGTTCGAGTAATCGCAAGAAATTGACATGACAATAGAAATTCATTAAAGACTGCCACTCCCATGCAATTAACAGCGAGTGAAATTCCTGGGATTGAAACATATATTTTGAAGTCACTGATGTAGGCAACGAATAACTGCAAGTTGACATAAAGACGAGGTAGTTTATTTAATCAGTGGTCAACTAGAGGCTGAAATTATAATTAATTTGTTTATTTCAATTTCTCCTGACGTCAAATAGAATACACTGGTGAAACACGGTAGTAACTGTGGGTGAAAGGATGTTTTGGGGTGTAGTTTACATTGTATATGGAGTGGTAGGGTCGGGTGTAATGTGTTCATTTCCAACTATTATGAAGTCACGTAGAATTTCACTTAATTTATTTTTGCTGACATGTTTTCAAGCATTACATGTGAATCTAATTTTCACTGCGCTGTGTCTCAATATAGTATGAGGGAAA